CCCCAAAACCCCAAAACCCCAAAACCCCAAAACCCCAAAACCCCAGTGTTGACATATTTAATTGAATCTAGGTTATAATTTTGACAGGATATTAGTCAAATTTTGCCCCTGGAAGCAACGTCTTTGACTTGTGTGACGCTTCATAGTAGCTTGATCCTTTCCGAGTCAGCTGGTGCAAGATGTAGTAGGCGGCAAATGCTTGGGAGATATAAGTAAAGAAAGTTATGAACCTGTTGATTAAATATCTTTCCAATGACATTGAAAGAAGCCACAAAATTGGAAATGATAAGATATACACTGAGGCTCAGATTGTTAGGGACCATAGAAAAGATTTCTGCTTGTTGTTAGCTTTATTAAATGTATCTTTTATTCCAAACAAAAAGACTCAGAATATAATAAACCGAATGAATATAAGTACAACACCCTGCACACCTCCGAAATCATGATATTTATGATGCTCTTCATCATCAATATAAGTAAGAGCTGCTATTAAGAGATGAACTATGACCACAAATATGGCTGTAAGCACATAAATATCAGTTTCTACCATATTTTTATAAGTCACAGTCCATCCAAATGAAATAGTGATCAGTAACCACATCATTATCGCTTGTGAAATGATCTTAAAGAGCCTTCCAAATACACTAAACACAAAAAGGCCAGATCCATTGAGGTATATAAAGAAAAAGTGAATTCACATACAGCCCAAATGTGTCAAATCTGCATTAACACTAATCATCAGAGGGATCAATGGATTCTCAGCACTTTCTTCCGTTCTCAAGTCCTTGTAGAACTCAATGATAGACTTCCCCATAAATCCAGCAAAAATAGCAAACATCAGCAAATAAAAAGGGAAGATATACATATCTTCTTGAGAGAAATGAGACCCATTGTTGGTCATATTAATCTCTATCTCTAGTTTAGGCAATGAAGGAAATATAACATGAGCCCTCTCTTCTCAATCAGAAGCAGAAATATACCAAACTGTTGTCTTCCTGTGTCCATCCATGAAATGAACAGTTTCCTTTGTCCAGTCTCCATTCGTTGGGACGTTAACCCAGTTGTCAATAGTTTGGAGGGCTGCTTTCCCCCAGCAGTCGTTATCGTCAAGATTTATGACCTTATCCCATTTCTCATCTTTGTAATAGTTGAATTCAATCGGTATTGTTTTAGGTGTATCCGCTCCTTTATTCCATGGCTTCATAAATCGTGCTTTTAGAGTGATTTCTCCCACAGTATCCTCCCCAATAGCGAATTTTGTCACGAATTGGTACTTCTTGCTGCCTCTGAATCTGACCCTATTTTCTAAAGATCACTGCTTGGCTGTGCTCCACAAGAAATAGAATGAATAATAGTAGACAAGAGAGAGTTTTCATGTTTTTGGAGCAGAGAAAAGCAGCCATTTTTACAAATTAGAATAAATAATTTCAAACTTCTTCAATCTAGAGTAGTGCTTGTGGGGTTTTGGGGTTTTGGGGTTTTGGGGTTTTGGGG